AATTATATATATATATATGTCAAGAGGCAGCTTTCGGGACGTTTTCTAAACATATGATTTTTATGGATAATAATGTAGCAAATTCTGTTTGGAAGACTTTTCCGTCAACGGAAATCAGTATTTTTGGAAATATTCTGAAATTTATACGGATTGGCAGTTATGAGGTCAATCATATTTTTAATTAAAATGACAAGCATTTTTTATTTAACGTTTGCATTTTGTAAATTTGACATTTACTAATAGTTTTCGATCAATTTTGTATTATAAAATGAAAAAACCGATAAATAATGTACAATTTTTTTAGTAAGTCCTTAATTCTGCCATTTAACCGAATTATTCTTCAGAGGAAAGATAATTTTCAGACTCTCCATTTTTTAAATAAAAGAAAGCGAATAATTTCTTTTTACTGAGTTCTTTTTAATTTCAAACGAAAAATTATATTAATTGTAAATGTAATGAATTAATAAGATGCAGTATTAAGTAGAAAAAGGACGAAATTTCGTATAAAAATGCAGGTTCTGAAATCCACCGTTTCGTCAAAATTATAATATATGCTAGGGCAGATTTCAAGTCTTATAATTATAAATATAACATTTCAAACAAAGTTAAGTTCGTATAACTGTCGTATTTCTGAAAACAAAAATAAATGGTTAAAAAAAATTATAGTTTTAGTTTACTTTCTTTTCAAAAAAAAAAAGATCAAGAATGTTCCTAATTGGAATTAATATTCAGATACTTTGATTTTTCCTTGTCGAAAACTAAACGATCTGAAAACTATCACTCCGTCGCAATATATATACCTGGAAACTACCACTAGATCAAGAATTTTAATACTTTCGGCTTCCTAGATATGATTCAAATATTTTATAAAGCTCTTGTTATATGTTTTGCTTTATGTTTTATTATCAGTATGTGGAATTATTCGTTTAACATGATTCATGATGACTTTAATTTTGCATATTGATTTTTGTCAACCTGCGGAAAAAAATCGGTTGTTTAAATAAATAAGAAGAATTCGTGGGAACTGAATCTTCTTTTAGAAAGTTACGGAAATCACTCTATTCTAAGATGGGCAAATCTCTATCAAAGTAATCATTTAAAGAAACTTAATAATTTCGGTCTTTTCTTGTCGAAAACTAAACGATCTGAAAACTGCCATTTCGCTGCAATATATAGACCTGGAAACTACCACTAGGGCGAGAATTTTAATATTTTCCTAAATGTGATTCAAATATTTTATAAAGCTCTTGTTACATGTTTTGCTTTATGTTTTATTATCAGCCTGTGGCATTATCCGTTTAACATGATTCATAATTTTAATTTTGCATATCGATTTTTGACAATCTGCGGAAAGAAATTGGTTGTTTAAATGAATAAGAAGAATTCGTGGGAACTAAATCTTCTTTTAGAAAATTACGGAAATCACTCTATTCTAAGATGGGCAAATTTCTATCAAAGTAATCATTTAAAGAAACTTAATAATTTCGGTCTTTTCTTGTCGAAAACTAAACGATCTGAAAACTGCCATTTCGCTGCAATATATAGACCTGGAAACTACAGCTAAGGCGAGAATTTTAATATTTTCCTGAATGTGATTCAAATATTTTATAAAGCTCTTGTTACATGTTTTGCTTTATGTTTTATTATTAGCATGTGGCATTATCCGTTTAACATGATTCATAATTTTAATTTTGCATATCGATTTTTGTCAATCTGCGGAAAGAAATCGGTTGTTTAAATGAATAAGAAGAAATCGTGGGAACTGAATCTTCTTTTAGAAAATTACGGAAATCACTCTATTCTAAGATGGGCAAATTTCTATCAAAGTAATCATTTAAAGAAACTTAATAATTTCGGTCTTTTCTTGTCGAAAACTAAACGATCTGAAAACTGCCATTTCGCTGCAATATATAGACCTGGAAACTACAGCTAAGGCGAGAATTTTAATATTTTCCTGAATGTGATTCAAATATTTTATAAAGCTCTTGTTACATGTTTTGCTTTATGTTTTATTATCATCATCTGGCATTATCCGTTGATGTATGATATAAACAGAAGAGATCAAATATTTTTTTTGCATTTATTGATTTATTAAATATACTTATATATCGCGAAATAGTGCAATACAAGAAAAAAAAATGATAAAGTGATAAAGAAATGATAAAGGAAAAGAAGTAATTTCTTCTAATCGATGTCATATTGAGCAAAGTTAGATTATATTAGCGAAACTGAGCGCATGCTTACACTTGAGTGAATCAGTGTATTATCAATTAACATATTTGTGATAAAAACATTGTTAAAAAATGATTGCAATGGAAGCATCGAAGGAATATTTAAAGATTTTGACTGGCCATGTTTTCGATAACGATAATCTGGTAATTATACATATGCGCGAACGCGCATTCATGTATAATGTTTATTTATATTTTATATATAAATGTAATTAATGCATAATTAATATTTTTAGGTTAACTTACAAATGGCTAAGCAATGCGATTATGTTAATATAGCAAAATAAATCTTGTGGGAATTTTATCAAAAATATCATAAAACAATATTGAATATACATTTTGAATAATTGACTTCATATAGAATAATGAAATGATAAAATTATATCAATGCACTTCTATAGTGTCCACAAACATTTTGTGTATTTGGAATTACTCGCAACTTTTGGTTCTGGAAATGTGAATATTTATTTATATTTTATATATAAATGTAATTAATGCATAATTAAT